TCACTTGCTTCACGCAGAAGTACCTCCCTCAATACTCTCAATTCCTCTGGGAAGCGATGCTGTCATTAAATCCTCGGAACATATTCATCCCACAACTCAGGTTCCCATCGCGGACCGTTTAGCCTCTTATTCCATTCGAGGTAACTTTCAGTCCGATGATGATTCTCTTGCAGAAGGATTGGATTATGGCCACGGGCAGTATGGCAGTCCATCAGATACTGCATTGAAATTCTCAGGGTACATGCCTGCTGAGGGAGGCACCCCCGCGAGCTCGTTTTTGAGGACTTTGCGTCCATTCATAAGCAATCTTTCCAACACCCGCAAGTTAGAATTGAAGTCATACGGCTGGAGCTATCTATCGCCTTATTCTGGCATCGAAATTGCATCTACCATGCCTAATTTGTCCGCTCTTGAACTGCATAAGCATAGAAGCCGTCTACTGGGCATTGAAGAAGGAATGCACATAAGCGTAAATTCTTTAATTTCTCCCCGGATTATTCATCTCGATTCTTTGTTCCTATGTCATATATCGGGTTGTCCGGAGGATATCCTAACTATCGTTCCTAAGATTGGAATCAAATCTATCGACAAAACAGATGTTCCTAAGTCACATCGGATCATGTTGCTTCTATAAGGGATATGGGGGTTCGAATTTACTGGCCAGAGGAGATGAGTTCCGGCAAGTGCGCCGCAAGATCGGCGACATCTATTTGGAACTAACATCATCCGGGCTTCGAAACCGTCTACTATGTGGACCTCCCAACTCTCACATCCTGGGGTGTTGTGATATATCGACTCATGATTGGTCATCGTTCTTTTCTACTAAGAAAGACAAAGAGGAGCGTCTGTAGAAGATTGCTTTTCTGCTACACACATGCATCCAACGCCTAATGTGACACCCCGACAAAACGCAATTGAGTAGCTCAAAAGTATGGTAGTACAGTATAACTCAGTAGGGGCGACCTCTAGACCTACTTTTCAAATTGTGGATAATAGGTTGGGAACAATAGAAAGAGCTTCGTTCCTTCAATGAAATAGTGGTTTAAGGTCTACTGCGGGGGGAAACTGCCTGTGTAAGACAGCAACATGGGATGAAACCTCGACGAACGATCTGGAAAGCAACGTTGAATAGCTTGGATATTCAAGAGTGAACAAAATAGCCGCACGAAATGAAAGAGAGCGCACAAAATGGTACAGGTTTGTGAAATGCAAGTCTTCGAATGGTACATAATACCGGCAGCTCAATTTAATTTTGACTATATTTGAGGTTCCTTAGCCGTTGGATGAGAGACAATAACCGACTATCCATGAACTATAGTGCACTTCGTACTTTGCCTGTACATGTGAATTGGAGTACACTATGATGTTCGAAAGCCGGACAGCCCAAAATTCTGCGCTAGTGTCAGCTTGAAGTACAGTCCGCAGAGAGATACACTTTGTATTATCCTTTGGTTCAAAAAGTACTGAGTAAGGTGATTGTCAGTTGCACGTAGAAGTGAAATTATTCTGGAAGCGAGAGCCCATTGTACTTGCAGAATGAAAATCACAGATCATTGTAAACGTATCCAAGCTTCTCAAATACAAGCTGCATAGATGGATTTGTATAGAAATCGAAACCTTACGTTCGATCATACCTCAGAGGTGTGCTAGATCTCCCCGATGGCGTTCGATTCTGGAAGAGGCTCTGCTCTGCATGCTCGCTTTGGCTTCCCGTGGCGACGTCCCACACAGTTTACGAAAGATGATGTTTAGGGTGTGCTTTGCGGTACGCTGTTCGTCACCACCTATTTTAGTGGCATTTAGCCGGTTCCAGAGCGTGGAGGGCTGTGTCCAGACGTGAGATGAAGGTCGGTTTACTTCCATGTGTACAAACGAACCGACCATAGGACAATTAGAAAGATAAATGAGATCGTAAAATGCCAACAAGAACGGTCCACTATGAGAGCAACTTGAACATTGGATGATCCGAGACAGGAGGCCTTACGGAATGCCTCGAATAATCAAGAGGGAAGAACCTTGATGAAGTGCTGCTTGGAACACCTGCATTGCTGTTTGGTGGGCCTGCCCGAAGTTTGTTTTGGTGGCCCTCTGAGATAGCAAGTAGCATAAACGGGAATATACGCCGCTGTCATGCGTCACACAACTTCACCTCTTCTCCAATTCAGAAGCATAATAGACAACGGTAGTACAATTAACCTAACATAAATTGTTGGACAGCCATACTCGCGTGGCGAGCTGCGGTGTGTCAATTGAGATGTATATGAGCTGAAGGTTGGGTTTTGCTGGCCATGGCGCAGGGACATGGTAGCACCAATACCCGAGACTCCCGTCAGGTCGACATGAGAACATGGAACGTGCGTTAGAAGTGTGGGGGCAACATGGTGTAGGGCCATGATGAGAGTCATAACCATAAATTATAACCGCTCATGGTCAATCACAACAGGGCGAGGCATCGAATATTGAAATGATGCCTTGTGAAAAGATGTACCCAAAACAATTTAAAATAAAATAATGCTATACCGGAGAAAAGCCGATGAGGACATGATGTTACGTTTTCGAAATTGTGACCGTTGCTAGTGTTGGTTCGGCTGGTACTTGACTGACATCCTTTGGTGGTGTCGTAAGTTCTGCAAGGACTGTCTGGGCTTGTCTATCTATTGATAACCGCAAACGAGGGTGAACGACACCAAATTAAAGCAAGTCTCCACCTTAAGCGAGCCAAGAGAACGGTATAATGTTGTTCCACGACGCATGGTAATATTGCACCACACAGCACATGTATTATGGCGTGATTGTCAGGCAAACTGTCGTAGAGGATGATCATGAGTGTCATCCTGGTGGGGTTGGCATTGGATTTTCGAAAGATGGTTAGCTGCAGATTAAATTCAAATGGAAATGAAACTCATATATATGTGCCAGCTTGAGCTTAAACTATATGACATGGCAGAGAAACGTCAAATCCCAGTCAAGGAAGCTTCGAGAACGTGATTACACGGAGAATCCGTTGACCAACCGTGATGTGATGAATTCGAACTCGCTAGCAGAAGGTGCAATCGGAAGAAAGCGGTGATTAACAGAACAATTGAAATGGGTCGGACCCTTTGGAGAAGAACACCTGATCTATAAAATATGGGGATCATAAGACATGTGTTGCATGACCATATTGTTGTCATCATACTCAGTGTGCAGGTGATCACGGGCAATAATCCCCCGTGCCGTATTGCGCCAGAGGCAAAAATTTCAAGTGCCGTCCGAAAGACCCCTATGGCAGCACTGACTCATTAAATCCCGCTCGACCCGCCTGCTATTTAACCCTCCAATCTGCAATCCATCCACGTACTTTGCCAGTATAGGTCTCCTGCAAAAGTCGAAGAACATGTTGAATCTCAAAAAAGCGCCAGTAGCGGTACCAGCCACTGAAACCCGTACCACCCTCAACGAGTCATTCGCAGGTCTTGGGACAAAGCTATCGAGGATCCTGTCGAACGCAAGTTCCGTGGCATCAATGGCAGTAGGGCCGAAGAGTCCAGTAGGTATGTGGGGCGGAATGAACTTTCGATTGTGTGTTTTTGCTCCGTTGACGACAGACGGGTATTTATATGGGCGCTGGTTGCGATAAGGACTGTCCCTTATCTTTCGTTCTCATTCTTATCTATCCAACCTTATTTCATTTTGGCCTTCTCTCACTCCACTTCTTCTAACAACTCTGATGTCTGCAGAAAGTGAACAAGACCGTTCCCGTTCCAGAGGCCGTCAAGAAGCATTCGTGAGTTTATTTTTGGGTTTCTCCTTTCTTTTCGTCGTTGACACTAATAACACACAACAACCACGAACAGCACTCTTCCGGTCGCGGCGGCGCAGGCAACATCCGCGCAGGCAGCCGATCCCGCGATGCACGCCCAGATGGTCCAGACGACTTCTCACTAACCCGTGGGCGGGAGATGGGTGTCTCTCCCGGACTCACGCACTCGGGCCGCGGGGGCGCAGGCAACATACGCTCGCCATCCCGCGAGCCAGGTGCGGGCGTTGCCGAGTTGGATCCCAAAGAAATTGAGGCGATGCGTGCGGCGGCTGAACGCGAGGCGGAACTGCCGCACTCTTCTGGCCGTGGTGGGGCGGGGAATATCTTCGCGTCGCGCTCCAGGTCGCGCTCCCGCGCGGAGGCATTGAGAAGCTCTGGGCGAGGTGGGGTGGGGAATATAGCTGTGGGGGGTATTGATGAGAATGCTGTTGATGAGGAGGAGCGTAGAGCTCATCATCATGTTGAGGCTGAGAAGTGCGTCCCTTTTCTCGTTGGCCTCTGCCCTTATTTCAACCTTCTTGCTTACTTGTACTTCCTTTCATCCTCTCAGTCATTCTACAGGCCGTGGGGGCTCAGCTAACATTACCACGTCCCCATCCCCACACGTCGAACACGCTGCCCACCATCTACAGGGGGTTATCTCCTCTGGTCGCGGAGGCGTGGGCAACATACGTGACACCAGCAGGACTCGCGATGCCAGTGCCGACGCGAATTGAAATGTTAAGATGATTATGACCTATGGGACCCTCTTGTAATTCTATTGTCCTGCCAATTGTCTATTCGTTTGTAACCCCTTCTCCCTCCCTCCTCCCTGTGTTGGAACGTCTGTAGTTGCCTTATGTGCAAATTCTTTGGATGATATTATTTCCAAATTTTCTTATTCTTAAATGGCCGTTTCGTTGTTAGTGACTAAATGGAATTGTTATTACATGTTTCCTTAACTCGAAACAAGAGCCTGTGTAATTTCGATAATCTACGATTTATAGCACGCTTTGAAAATATTGTAATGCTTGGACGGATGTCCCTTACAATTGTTCCTCGCTGTCTCATAATTCTCCTAAATCTAGGTACAAGGGGGGCATGAATGAGCCGACATCGAAATCTAAACGAGGCACGTGTCCAGATCACATGCTTTGCTTGCTGATAGTCTGATATTGACTGTAATCTAAATAAATTGAAAAAGGGGAAGGTGGGCAGCGGCACTGTGTCCGAGTGGTCCAAGGAGTGTGACTCAAGCGCTAAAGCTTACCTTCTGAGAAGGTTTCTCATCTGCATACGCAGGCAGGGGTTCGAATCCCCTCGGTGTCATGTTTTTTGAACAATCATTTTCATTTCATGTATTTTCATCGTTTTATGTTGGTTGTAAATAAGAGCAAATACATGTATTTTTAGTTAATCACTTTTTCTTCCATATCCTTTTGGAAGTCGCACATTTTGGAAAGAAGTTGAGCATTAAAATAGGCTGACGCTGAATCGGAGAGTAGAGCTATTATTATTACTGCAGAGATAAAAATCTCAGAACCGGCTCGCCTGAACACTTTTGTTCATAGCTGAACATGAAGAGTTCGGGACCCTCTCGATATGGATGTCCTCGCCGCGCTCACGCTATGTCTATAATTCAAATTTCTATTTCATTATTTTCTACATGGAAAATGTATGTCTTATCACGGCCGTTATGAGCGTCCTTGCCTCATTTGGCGAGGCGGCGAGATCTTAGAACGGGGTTTAGACATACAGGGGCAAACTGACCCATAAATTAACTATGGAAGAAGTGCCTGGATCCATCTCTGACGTTCATCGTACCTACTAACGTGCATTTTTAAACCAATATCTACGCCAACAAAAACAGGACATCAAAAAGGCCCCCAACCACTTCTTAATTGTCGAAGGACGCACTAAACAATACGAGCCCCATGGGTATTATATGCCATATCTGGCCGCCAGATCTCAAGTTGCCTGTAATTTTATGTATTCACGCACAGTCTGGCACAATCTCGTAGCATTGAAATATATGTACTTTACAATTTAATAAAAGAAAATTAGAACGATAAAAAAAACGAGAATAGGAGAATAGGCCGCGCGGCAGGACATTACGCACGATGAACCCGACAGTCTGCAAAATGAGCCTTGAACTCCTTGAGAGGGAGATAAGCAGAATCACAAAATTCAAGTATATCGGGGCTTCCATCTCGATCAGTGTCCATACTGCTGGCAGAAGATAAACAATCACGAGTGCACCTGTCGCCAGCGGGAGCTGAGCAACGACTGTTACTTGGACCGGCGACTGTTCCGCCGATGGGACTACTTCTCGACTGACTCGAATGAGAATGAGCGGAGGTAGAAAAAAGTAGTGAGCGTGGTGCATTTACTTCCTGCTGCTGAGGGAGGGCATGGGTTCAGATTGCACGTTCAAGTCGGGATCATGGGGCTACCTGAATACCAGGCGGTACCAATACTATTGCCGGTGAGATTTAAAGGTAGCTATGGATTATAAGTGTACTCACCGGCTGCTACAGGATGACTGGCTGTATACGCAAGAAAAGATTGCTTGTGAGTTGCTATAAGTACCCTCCTATAAAGAGGAGCGCAGGGTGGAATGTGGCGATACGGAGTCGAAGATACTGGCAAGACAGCTGTAAAGATATTATTGGTCATCTTGGTTGTTACATACACATTTGCAACACACCGCCGTCTATATCCTGTGTGGGATAATCTTCCGCAAGGTTGGCACTCGCGGACTTCTCATCAATAACGACTAGGCACGATTTAGCAAATAACTTGTGAAATATAACCACCATCCAACTTACCATTTAAGCAGCAATCGGAGCAGAATGCACGGGTTAGTCCCGCGATGGTCTTCACCTCTACAAATAGCAAAACGGGCAACAACAATGCGTAAAAACACTCGAATTTGATGCGTCGCATGTTTATATAGGCAGAGATACCCTGTAAATAAACGGCATGGCCTTGTGACATTGGGCTAGATAAGCAAGTTAGAAAGAGGTAAGAACAAGTACTCACTAAGGACACTCGCATCTCATCAAACTCTCGGTTTAAAAAAAAAAAAAGTTTTTTAAAATGATTTTGTAATGTGATGTATTCTACGAAGAGATTGTTAGATTTTTGGGTAAAGCGAGTAGTCGTATAGTGACCGGGGTCGCTAATACCCACATTCATTACCGCTCTTGTTATTAGTAATACCATTCCATTGCAGCTTGTTTCTGCGCGCCAAGCTACGTGTGACGAAGAGAGAGAAATTGGCCCATTGAGCGGTGAAGTTCTCTCGGTCCCGATGTCTTAGCATTAGCTGGGTGGTCGGCAAAGCAATCGTGTGGGGCGGGGGAATTCCGACAATGGGTCCCTAAAACGCCATGTATCAAGAATACATCCTTTTGAGCCGGAATCTGGGCGAATACTCCCTACTGTAGATCAACGGAGTGGCTAGATCTGACACTCCCATTTTCCTGATATTTATGGATCTTTATAACCTTGTATTAAAGGATAGAATAGATGGGGATCGGGGCACATAATAGTGACCCTAGTGGACAAATAGACCACCACTCAGACACAGACACAGACTGGCTACCAGAAGTAACCGAACTCAGACGACCGCATACTGGACAGAGTCACAGACATGGATAGGGACTATTATGGATACATGTGGGTACTTAGGGTTCTGAACCACAAATTCCAACACCTTGTATGTCCTTTCATCCATATTAGGTAGATTACTATCAGACCAGAAGCATTAGCTGTTGGATGACAATGAATGAAAGTCCCCGATTACTATCAACTGACTGCCATACTCAATTGTTAAATGCCTGACAACCATAATCGGGGTCTTTGTAACGTGCCCAATGGCACAATGCATAATTACATCAATAATTTGAATTCGAGTTCAAGTTTGCCATGTTTGGTCTGAAAAATAATGAGACCGTTACATAAATTACACCAACCACATCAATGACAGTCTTATAATTTTTGAGACAAGACATGGCAAACTTGAACTCGAATTCAAATTATTGATGTAAGACTCTATAACTTATGCATTGTGCCATTGGGCATGTTACAAAGACCCTGATTATAGTTGCCAGGCATTCAACAATTGAGTAAGGTACTCAGTTGATGGTAACTGGCGACTTTCATTCGTTGTCATCCAACAGCTAATGCTTCTGGTCTGGTAGTAATCTACCTAACATGGATGAACTACCTTTCAAGGTCCATATTTACTAGCCGATATGATAGTTTACTATAGATATAGGTAGTCTAGGGGGAGTCAGGTCGTCTGTATAACGGCTTCAATTTCACAAGACATTCCCAAATTCCTGATGAACTACTGCAATGACGATGCCACGCCATACGATCTCTAGAGCGATCAATGGTAGTCTATTATTGTTTTTGAAACCAGACGTGACAAACCTGAAACTGACAGTCAAGTTTATTGATATATGCCTGGCTCTACTACATGTGCATTGGGCCATTGGCAAAGGGGCATACCAATAACGCTTACCAGTCCATGGTTCGAATATTGAACAATGCGCTCGGATGATAGGAATTCCTGGCCTTTTAATTCACCAGCCACCAGTGGCTAATGGTCTTAGTCTAGATAATACGCTACCCAACCTAACATGGATAAATATAAGGTTCTGCCAAATCTCCATAAATACCGCAATGACGATGGTACGGCCCCATACTCTCTAGAACGAATCATGCAGAGCGATTCTCATTCCTCTCGTATGCGCGCCATGATCGACAAGTATTCCCATAATTTTCCAAAGCATGTTCCAGGTACACTTGTTGTTACTGGCGACTTTGTAGCTTTATCTGGAGCCACCGGGAATGTTGGGTGTATTATGCTGCATTTTCTTCTGGGTATGGACAATGTTAAGCGGATATATCTTCTTACCCGCTCTGGCAGCCATGATCCTAAGCGTAAAATTGCTGAGTCGATGCGGGAGAAACAATTGGATCCATCAATTTTAGCTGACAAAAGCGACAGGGTGGTATATCTTGGCGTTGATTTCTCAAAACATGATTTTGGTTTAAAGAGCAGAGAGTACGAAGAGGTGAATGTCGACTTTCTCTCCTGATTATTGGTTCAGTTCTCATAACCATATTATCATCGTAGCTTAAGTCTCACATTACGCACATCATACATTGCGCTTGGAATATAAATTTCAATCACACGTTCGAGACCTACGAGTCCATGTACATCGCGGGCCTTCGACATCTCATTGACCTCGCCCTCTCTTCTCCTCAAGCGAAGTCCCCTCGCCTAGTCTTTATTTCTAGTATCGCAGCAGCGGCACGGTACAAAGGGCCGTTCGAAGAACCCACTGTAGGGACTGCCGTAGGGCAGTGTCTCGTACCGGAAGCTCCGATCGATGACCCCAACATAACTCTCCCTGGCCACGGTTATGGGATGAGTAAATACGTTGCTGAGCGCATACTTGTAAACGCCGCCGGAACTGGTTTACGCGCCACGATATCACGCGTGGGCGTGCTCAGTGGGACACTCGACGGTGGAGCATGGGCGAGGCAAGAAAGTGCGCCTCTTCTGTTTCGGACGATATTAATGACAGGCATGTGTCCTGACGAGATTCCGGTAAGATCCCCCTTGCCGATGATTCCCCAATTCCAATTATGTTATTTATCCCACTACCCATAGCCCATGCGGTATACACCTTACAACATTGCGGCGTCTGCCCTCCTCAAACAAACCTTCCACGATTCCTCTGACTTGCAATACTTTTCCGTCGAGAATCCATTTCAAACCACATGGGGTACCTTCAAAGCTGCCCTATCAGTCATTTCTCCTCGACCTCTTAAGATAGTACCGACGGTAGACTTTATGGAGTTGGGATATAACCGCAGTCAAAAGCTCCCAATAACGAATAACATGGAAATTTATCGTTTCATGATCAATGGGTTTTCAGAGATAGCTGCTTTGGGATGGAATCGTTCGGTAGAGATCGCTCCCGAACTGGCTACTGGGCCACTGACCCTTCCACTAGTCCAGAAGTATTTGACCAAGCTTTGATTCCGTTGCGATATCGATGGGACATCTCACAAACTATGCCTTTTTTCGTATTGCAGTCTTGTTCTTTTCATTGATATGGTTGTACTGGATTTTGTAGATTAAGACAGAGGATAACAATAGGTTTGTTGACTGGACACGGTAGCGTTTGGAGGATGATGTGTTAGGTAGAGGAAAGCAACTTGAATTTCGATACGACGAGCTGAGGATGGCAACGCAGCTGGATTGAATGATTGGATGTATAATGTATTAGAAGAAAATATTTAGACAG